GCCTTCAGTCTGATAAATGTCATAAATAAGCATATTTTGGAATATACAGTGCTCATTACATACATACACACACACACACACACACACAATATATATATATATATATATATATATATATATATATATATATATAAAGATAAAGTTAATTGTTAATCTGTATGAATGATATAAATCCAGAGAATTCAATGTAACAACAGAGCAAATGATAATTAATTAAGAAATCGGAAACTTCAGAAATCCATGGTAATATTTTATTTTGCAAAATCGAGACTTCGATTTCGCTTCGTCAGACCTGGCAGTTTCAAAACAATCACTGGGTTCAAAATACTTCCAGGAACCAAACGAAAAACGAAAATTAAGCTAGTAATTTTCGTTTTTGGTTCGTTTGTGCGTGACATTTATTCAAAACAATTAATTATTGTCGGTATAAAGGAGGTCGGAATAATAATAATAATAATAATAATAATAATAATAATAATAATAATATTTTTCCACAAAAAATGCCCAGTGGAAAATTTCTGAGCATATGTTTCTGGTTGGGACCCAGAAAGAAACGACTATACGCCAGAAATCAAATAAAATAATAATAATAATAATAACAATAATAATAATAATAATAATAATAACTGTAGAAATATTAATGTTAACGGATAAAATGTACCCAGGGATTAAATTCGCTTCTATACTAAGTGGTTGCTGAGTTTTTCTTAGTTTTTCTTAACTTACTGACGTCGAAAAGCTGATATTTGAAAATTATTTGCGATAAAATGCCAATAATATAAATTATTGTTACATTATACATATATATGGGTGTGTGTATGTGCGCGAGCGTGTGTCGGTGTATGTATATATACAAAACATACATATTTCATCTCTCTCTCTCTCTATCTATTTATCTCTCTCTCTCTCTCTCTATATATATATATATATATATATATATATATAGATAGATATGCGCTCACAATTATATATGCGTGTGTGCATATAATTGTGAGTGCGTATATATATATATATATATATATATATATATATATATATTATGAAATAGACAATTATTTTAATATATTTTTTATTTATGTTTTTTTTTTTTTATAGATACACAAATATTTAAGTAAATGCTCTGTTTATAATAAACTATATTAACAAAATTTACCATCCTATGTCCAAAAAATTTCATAGAAAATATATGTCCTCCGACAGGAATCGAATCTGTATCCTACACAGAGCCGACATTCAGGTCGGAAAACTTGGTTAATTCTGTTTATTATAAACATCGTATTTACTTGTATTTGTATCAATAAAAATAATGTTTAAACAGAAAATATATTAATATGAATATGCGCAATCACAGTTATATTAGCTGATAGAAGTAGAGGTGAATTTTGCAAGCACACTCACACAACTGAAGATTCATATGTCGATGGGTGCATAAGTAACCTATGTATTGACCTCAGGGTCCACATTTATATTTACATACGCTCTGTCTCTGATATTGAGCACCCATAAATATAGCATAACTTAAAACTAATTAATCATATAGAGAGATATGTGTGCGTGTGTATACGTAGAACTGGAAGTATTCATTCACACTGTCCTCCCAGTACTTAGCTGCATAAATCAAGTATACATGCATGTACACCCATACACACACACACACACACGCACATGCGCGTGCGCCACACACAACACTAATGTATTTATTGTTTTGAAGAATCTTCATTGTATCTCTGTCTATAATACGCACGTTGGCTAAGTTTAATGGAATATCCTGATTTTCGCAATGATTTTTTTAAAATAGTTATAATTATATCAATAAAACTAGCATAGTAGCCACCAAAAATGAAGGCTTTACATGACTTATCTTTTAACTCGATGTTTCGCGGAGACAGAATTCCGTTTTTTTGGGTAAGATAAATCATTTAAAGTCATTTGGTTTGCTTTGGTTTGTTTTACGGCATATGGGTCATATTACTCAATGGGTTATTTAATTTATTACTGGTAATGTTCTTCAAAAATCTATCTTCCTTGAAGAAATCTATAGCTTGTAATATTTTTCAAAGAATGTATAGCTGTTATTATTGCTGTTAATTTTTTTGTTGTTTTTAAGTATTGCTGATAATTTTTCCTTCAAAAATTATTTCTGGTAATATTATTTTTTTTTAAATTACAAAGTATTTCTGGTATTAAAATCTATTTATTCACAAGTTTAGGTTTCAACTATTTGCCCATAGTTGGAATCCTAACAGGTACTACCACCCCGAGTCAGGGCGGACCTGGGAACGCCAGCAATTAGGAAATGGTTCCACGCTCCTCAAAACCTCCTGATCAGAGGCCAGGACGCAGATGTAGTTTATCGTCTTATCCAGTACAGTAAAGTCATTAAGAGATATCATATTTATTATTTATTTTAAATTAAAAAAAAAAGAACAAAAGTTATTGACGTAAACTAAATCTTTAATTTCGATCAAAAATGCGTTATAATTCGTTTAAGATAGAACAAATTAAAAGATTAACGTTTTTTTTGTAGGTAATCTATCTAAATAATATCCGGATGAGCAGAATAACGCATCTGCACAATTTCATCTCGGAAGATAAGTCATTTCGAGTTCTATTTTTAATTCAATATTATTTTTCTCTCTCTCTCTCTCTCTCTCTCTCTCTCTCTCTCTCTTTATATATATATATATATATATATATATATATATATATATATATACTGAAGGTCTATTAAAAATAGAAAGTCACCCACTCGAATTCCAGCTATGTCCAACAAACGAGGGCTCGGGATTAAGGTCTTATTATAATTCACAAATAATACACGAAGAAAGCATCGCATGCGATCAAAAACATGAAAATAAACTAGCAACATCCATAACTACCCCCTTGAAAATGGCTAAGAAAGTGGCCGAAAGCGCTTGGGACAATCGACGAAATGGAGTATCTTTTTAATCCCACGCCGAAACCAAACGGAAAAAAATCTAAGAACGCAGTAAAAACTAAATAAAAAAATTAAACAAATTTTCCTCACCCGTCATATTTAACGAAAGAAGTTTAAAAAAAATATTGCTACCCAAACATACACTAATCATATTACACACACACACACACACACACACACACACACACACACACACACATACATATATATATATATATATATATATATATATATATATATATATATATATATATATATATATATATATGAATATGAGAAATGGAAACTTCAGAAAGCCTTGGTAATATATATATATAGTAAATTGAGAGTTCAGTTTCGCTTCGTCAGACCAGACGGTTTCAAACAATGAATGTATTCAAATTCTTCCAGGAACCAAAAATATAATATATATATATATATATATATATATATATATATATATATATATATATATATATATATATATAACCTATATTTGAGCATCAACCATTCTCTCAAAGATGTTTCGTTAAATATGACTAACAAGAAAAATTCGATTTTTTTTTTGTTTGTTTTTCTAATATTCTTACATTTTCCCGTTTGGTTGGAATATAAAAATTGTCTGTAATGTCTATTGTTCTAAGCGCTTTCGATCACTTTATCTATTTTCAAGGTATTTTTTCTTAATTCTTGTAATTCTTGTTAATTTCTTTTCATGTTTTTCTGTTTAAGATGTAGTTTTTGCGATGTCTAAATAATGGTCGCGTTTATTCCGAGCCTCGCAAAGTGGGCATCGCTGGAATTCTAATTGACGACTATCTATTTAGAAAACGTCTTGTACTGAGCAATGATAATGATACACTATATTCGTCTTCGCTACTGAATAAATTCAGATATTTTATGTAAAGGGCCTCCACCAGAGCGAGATATTTTCGATAACGTGGCTTATATATGATGATAATGTTATTGACCAGAATCTTACTTATGGGTTTTTGTAAATTGCGGGTGGCTAAGTGCCGTTTTTATAACACATTGGTCAGTTAGTGACACGTGAGGCGTCTACTCAAGGAGGTGGTGGTATGTCCGCTATAGGCAATTAATAAAACGTCATAACAACTGTTCTAATGGGCCTCGGTGAAGAAGAGTTAGCGAATCAGACTCGATATAGGGCTGCTGGATCACATATTCCGTGGTAAAACTCATCCGAGTTTCTCTTTTACTCATAGGACTGTGCCCCCCACGAGCCCCCGACTATTATCCCCAAGCTTGGAACAGTTGGTCTGATAATGTAACTATCCGGGTTTCAATTCACGGTAGTGGATCCGCAGTGCTGATGAGTCCCAAATATAGGATGAAACAGCCATCTAGTGCTTTCTGCATTCTGTTGAGGTTTTTTCTAGACTCGATGATTTACTTAATTATAATTATCTCAAATCCTCCTAATTTCTATCATTTATATATATTTGTGTGTTTTATTTTACTTTTTACACGTTTTTCTGGAATTGCAGTCGAAATATTGTGTTTAATGATTCGTCGTATAGCGAATTCGTCCTGCTTGCAATTATTGTGCATCAGTTTGGAGCAAAATATGTTTTATTGTGTGCTATTCTTTATTACGTGTATTTTTGTAAGAATAACTTTATTTGTTTATCGGTGATGCAGTTGGGAAAATCATTATTAAATCATGTTTATTTTATGCGTTTTAGTTCACTCAGAAATATTCTCTTAGAAGAAAAATTTTGGAGGTCCCGCTCCCTCTTTCTCTCTGTAATTCTCTCATTATATATATATATATATATATATATATATATATATATATATATATATATATATATATATATATATATAGTCAATAAAATAGAATAAAGGTATTAGATCTTACATAGCAAACCAAATTAAAATAAATAAGTCAAAAACTTATCACCCAAAGTCAAGTATTTTTTATGTTTTTTTTTTAATTTGTTTACTATACATTGTCTATTTCTTAACAGCACTCTGTAAACAAAGACTGTTCATTTTAACGGTGTTATCCTCTATTAATAGACGTTTTATCTTTCACGAAACAAAATATTTGTTATTATGACTAGATAAAGAGATGCCTAGATAGATAGATAATGAATATGCTGAAAGAGATAGATAGATAGATAGATAGATAGATAGATAGATAGTGGATATGCCAAAAGAGATAGATAGATAGATAGATAGATAGATAGATAGATAGATAGATAGATAGATAGATAGATAGATAGATTTGGTTTAAGTCTTTTATGACAATATAACGTAAATATATAACATGTATATAAAATATTATATTAAATCTTTTTAGCATTAATTTTTCTTTTTAATTCTACATTTTCTATACTGAAAAAAAAAACAATTTCTAAAATTTATATGCCAAGAATTATTTTCGGCATAATATTTTGATTTGTTGTCGTCGTGTTCAGTCGGTGGTGAGAAGTGCCTTGTCAAATTCGACCAACCCCTACTGCCAAAGCTTAAAACAGCAGAAAATTAACTTAATTTTTGTAAGTAATGAGTCATTTGTTGTTAGGACATTTTGTACCGTTTAGGATTTTCTTTTTCTGTTTTATTTCCACCAAAATCACTAAACAAGTGGACAATTACTTCTACCGGATTTTAAATCGAGAATATCAATCAAAGGTATGACACTCAAATTCGTACCATAACAGAATATCATAAGGGAATATACATGTGAACTAATCGAGAGAACAGATAGGTAGATAAATATAAAGAAATTGTGGTAGACTGGCAGATAGATAGATAGATAGATAGATAGATAGATAGATAGATAGATAGATATTAAGAAAAAATGTTGAGATATGAAGGAAAATGTGGTAGATAGATGAGAACAGACTGAAATAGATAGATAGATAGATAGATATGAAGAAAATATAGCAGATAGATAGATAGATAGATAGATAGATAGATAGATAGATAGATAGATAGATAGTGGGAGACTGGCAGATAAATGTGAAGATACTGTGGCAGACTGGCAGAAATATGCACATGAAGAAACCTTGGTAGACAGATATGGGATAAACTGTCGTAATCTTGCAGATATATAAATATGAAAAACATTGTCGTATTCTGAGAAATCGATAGATAGTGGTAGACTGACAGAGGGATAGAAAGATAGATAGATAGATAAATAGATAGATAGATAGATAGATAGATAGAAACGAGAAAAGTGGCAGATAGCTATGAAGAAAATATGATAGGTACATAGATAAATAGAAATATAGATATTAAGAAAATGTGGTATAGAGATATATATGAACATAAATTTGGTAGATAGATAGGAACAGACAAATAGATAAAAAGATAGGAAGAAACTGTGGTAGACTGGCAGATAGCTAACTAGCTAGATGGATAGATAAAGAGATATCAAGAAAAAAATGTGGTAGACAGATAACAGAGTTAGATAGATATGAAGAAAAATCTTATAGATATGACGAAAAATGTGATAAATATGAAGAAAATGTTGTAGATAGATCGATATCATGATATATATGAAGAAAATGTGGTAGCCTTGCCTATAGATAGATAGATAGATAGATAGATAGATAGATAGATAGATAGAAGCAGAAGCAGATAGAAAGCTACATACATAACTACAAACAGAGGTGGGGGGATAGCTACATAGCTAGCTAGCTAGATAGATAGAAACAGGGATAAATATATAGATAGCTGCAAACAGATATAGATAGATAGATAGATAGATAGATAGATAGATAGATAGATAGATAGATAGATATGAAGAACATGTGGTAGAGTGACAGATAGACAATGAAGAAACTGGTAGATATATGTGAAGAAAACATGCCAGATAGATGGATAGAAACATAGATATGAAGAAAATATCGTAGACAGATAGAAAGATAGATATTAAAAATGTGGTATATTGATAGATATGAAGGAAAATGTGGTAGATAGATAAGAACAGAGTGAAATAGATAGATGATAGATAGATAGATAGATAGATAGATAGATAGATAGATAGATAGATAGATATGAAGAAAATATGATAGATATTACGAAAAATGTCATAGATTGATATGAAGAAAATACATATGAAAAAAATTGGTAGATAGATCGATAGCAAGATAGATATAAAGAAAATGTGGTAGCCTGGCCTAAAATAGATAGATAGCTAGATAGATACGAAACAACTATGCTAGACTAGACTGGATATATATATATATATATATATATATATATATATATATATATATATATATATATATATATATATATATATATATAATTTAAAGAAAAAAAGACTAATTCAATGCTCTATTATTTATAATTTATTTCAGCAGAGAATTTTATTTTCACTGGATTTTCAGACTTCACTTTCACTATATATATATATATATATATATATAGAGAGAGAGAGAGAGAGGGGGGAGAGAGGAGGGGAAACGAGAAAAGAGTGGGTGAGAGAGAGAGAGAGATCGTAAATATTAAAAAAAAAATAATAACTGTTTTATTTTCTCGTGTTACGATTAGTTTTCGTCAACATTCACTACTTTAATATGAAATTATTTTCACTTTCTCGCTGTAGTTAATATTAATAAAAACTCATGAATTTAGAAATCTTTGAATCTTTACAATTGGACAACTCTTTAAAATAGAAAAAAAATGTATTTTTTTATTTTTAATTTAGTACCAGAATATTCTCCACAATTTATTTAATTTCTGGGATGTTTCTGAGTAAAGGGATTTAACCATCAATAATTCATCTTGCGTCAACGTTTTAGAGTTATCTGCCCCTTACATATTCCACATTTTTTTTCATGTTGTCTCGCACTCGTCGTTTTGGCTTTGACGTCGCGATTTTAATGAAGGGATTTTTTTAAATTACTGAGAAAAAAATATCAGTAAATACAGAAAAAAGGTGGAATCAGTGCAATATATAACAAACATAAGTATAAAGAGAGTTGCATTATTAATAGTTCGATATAGATGCGTGTATGCATGTAAGTAAATATGAATATATGTGTAGGTATATAAACATACACACACACACATATATACATATATAAATATAAATATATATATATATATATGTGTGTGTGTGTAATTGTAAGTGCGTGCAGCTACTTATATATTTACTTCTGTGCGTGTATGCATAATGTGTGCAATATTTATACATATTAAAAATAATTGTTTCTTTTATGTTTATTTAACTGTGTATGAATTTATGTAAGTATGTATATATGTATGTATTTATCTATCTATCTAGCTAGCTAATTTAGTATGTACTTTACTGGCTAGCTAGCTAAGTACATACTAAATTAAAAATTACAAATCATGAAAATAAAAACGATGACCACTACTCTTGTATAAGAAAAATTAAGAAACGGAACGTATACAACAAAACTGAACGAAATCAATCAGTTAACATCTAATTTAATACGCATCGAACATTGTTAGTAGAATTCATTCTCAATCTATTTTTAGAAGAATTCATTCTCAATCTATTCATATAAATTACAGTCATCTCTACACCCAATAATCCTATAACTCCCCCAACTCACATACCAACTTTGAAAATCATGAAATAAATTCATTTATCTATATTTTGCTTGTGAATAGAATATTAATTCCATAAATGAATTTCTACAAATCTTGCAATCTAACAAAATTAAAAAAAAACCTTTATGGATTTGATGTAGCAAAACATATTTACAAATATCCCAGGTAACGATACAGCAGACATTATCGGAATTAGTTCGAAAACCATTCTACGCTCCCTACCGGTGAAAACCTATCATTATACATACATACATACATACATACATACATACATATATATATATATATATATATATATATATATATATATATATATATATATATATATATAAGTCTTTATTACAATGTACAAAACAAATTCCATTTTATATCCACCTTGGCAAGATTTATACCGTGTTTATGTAAATAAATCTTCAAGTTTTTCTTTGTCAAACATTTATGATCCGTATAGAAAATACAATAAATTGTCAATATTTTCCAGTTATTCATATATTCATATGTCAAAAGTTTATGAAATATCTATAAAAAAATCCAGCAGACATTCGTAGCTTCTTGAAGACCAATAAACTTGTGTAAACATTTTGAAATCCTCACTTGATTACTTTAAACATTTTAGACATATGCAAAAATAAGGTAAGCCTTGTAAATAACTAAGGGACCTCACCGTGAAACAATGTTTAAGAAAATGATCTTGTAAACAATTATTTTTGTGAATTAAATTTCATACGCATTAACTGGATTACTCTTCCTTTTTAGAGATATATGCCCACACACACGTGCGTGCACGCACACACTCACGGACAGACAAACATACACTTGTGTGTGTGTGTGTGTGTGCGTAATTTGAGATATGTATGACTAAATTATATCTGTAAAACGAGAATAGTTTCGTTTACAAACATTTGTTGCAAAATAAAATCCTTACACTTGCCTTGATAAAGTCTATATGCGGACGAAACGTGTGTGTGTGTGTGTGTGTGTGTGTGTGTGTGTGTGTGTGTGTGTGTGTGTGTGTGTGTGTGCATATAGTTTTAGAGTAAGCATTATTTATGTGTTAAAGTGACCAATATCAGGGATAGAGCGTATGTAAATATAAAAGTGGACATTGAAGTCAACACCCAGCGGCGAGAGGCCTTAATTAAAAACAATAACTGTGTACATTTTTAATATTCGCCCTTATAACTTATATCTACAATGTAAAAAAAAAAATGTTCCTGATTGTTTGGTTCAACTATGAGTTTTATGCAAGTGGCAATTGTCAGGCACATATTGAAATTACAAGCATGAAAAGTATTTTCGCCGCTCGGTGTTGACTTCAGTGTCACTTTTATATATATATATATATATATATATATATATATATATATATATATATACACTTATATACGCCATCTCATATCGTCACACATACACACAGATGTATATATTACATTGATTACCAGTTTATATGTAGCCTTATTTTTACATTAAACCAACGTTATTACATTGCATACATACATATATATATATATATATATATATATATATATATATATATATATATATATATATATATATGTGTGTGTGTGTAGATATATTTCTGTAAAGGACATTATATATAATTGTTTATATATATATATATATATATATATATATATATATATATATATATAACGAGAATACTTCCAACGATTTTCTCCTGATGAGATGTTGGACGAAAGAGTTTTAGGACTATTAACATTAATAAATTCCTTTTTTAAAAAAAATAATATATATATAAATATATATATATATATATATATATATATATATATATATATATATATATATATATATATATATATATATGTATATATATATATATATATAAATAGTTACATATATATATATATATATATATATATATATATATATATGTAACTATTTTATATATATGTAATTATTTATATATATGTAACTTCATAGATATATATATATGTGTGTGTGTATGTGTGCGAGTGTAACTATTAATCATTCAATTAATAATGGCAGCTGTAAGAATTTCCTATAAATAATTAAATAATATTAAGCAAATATTCTTAGATAATGTCTTTCCAAATTGTTGATGAACAAATTCAGTTTTATCTAAAGAAAATTAGGAACTGATATAAGTGTGCTGAATATAGTAGGAACAAAAACACCATCAATTTAATCTGTTGAAATCAAATTCACATTAACTAGATTCAAGGAGAGGAAATTTTGGGGAGCCATGATTGTCAATGTCCTGAATGGACATTACATAAAGAAGAAGAAGAATCAGATTCATATGCAGATAATAATACAAACAAGATGAAAAAAAACATAAAAGATATAATCCATAAATGCATTCAGTCCACAAATAGAAATAAACATTGATGATTTATTATCTATGATGAAAAGTTTAAAATTCTCAGCTTAGTATTTACTAAAACTTCATTAAAATGAAATCCTCTTCAAAATATTAATGTTGTTTATAAATTTACTTGGACATTGTATATTTGAAAATAACAAAAATAATAGAAAACAACAATTTACATAGAATAAACAACCATAACTGGCCATATTGGAGAGTATATATCTGAAAAATGTATCTTACATAGAATATACAACTTCCATCTTTTCTTACGCTTAGAAGCATAAAATGAAAATAATACGTCTACAGGTGGATGACACAATAATACTAAAAGAAAAAGAAATTGTAAAAATAATAATAATAAAAAGATTAGAAAATTTAAAACTTATTCATACTACATCAAAATAGCAAACAACCAACAAAATCATTGATGTTTCTGTAATAGGTAAAGTAAAAAGTATTTATATTCTCATACATTTTGGTAAAACACCAAAAACGCTTAAACAAAAATGTCACTTCATAAAATTTTAAATTCAAAATCATCACCAAAGCTCAAGCAATTACCATTAGATTGAGTTTGAATTTCATTTAATCTATTTAAATCTTCGTAGTCACTGAAGGTAATCACAAGCTCCGTGCAGAAAAATAACTATTGTGGAGGGTTTTAACATAAAACAGGGAAACTAATGCACCAACAAAAAAATGTTTAAAAACATAATTTTCTGTTATCTTCAAAAAATATGTATTTGTGTGTGTATAATGCGTGAATATATATATGTGTGTATTTATGTATTTTTAAATATATACATTCGCGCGCAAACACCCCCTCACACACACATACATATATAAATATGCACATATATATTGTTTAAAGATTTAAAATATATGTTTTACGTATGCATATTTACCTTGGTGTAAAAATTCAGATATAAGTAATAATATATTTGTAAATTTGTAAATTTGTGCATTAGATGACGAAACACATTGGCTAAGATGAGTTTTTCTTTTGTCTTTATATATTAAAGAATTAGCATGGGATGAACATGAGAGAAAAGTGAAAAAAAAAAATTCTTAGAATGGAATCAATTATAAAAATCATACTTTTAGAAACTTTTATATAGAATGCCAAAAATCTGTGCTGAAGTAATCAAGGCTAAAGGAGGATATTTTGACGAGAGCAAAATTTAATTATAAAATGCATTTTTACTTCATGACATAATAAAATTTTGGGGTCCAATTTAAAAAATTAACAGATGTTCCTCAAATTTTTGAACTGTAGTGTATATATAAATATATAAATATATATATATATATATATATATATATATATATATATATATATATATATATATATATATATATATGTGTGTGTGTGTGTCTGCGTCTGTGTGTGTGTGTGTGTGTGTACATATATGTATATGTATACATATATATGTGTGTGTGTATGCATATATGTATGCGTATACATATATGTGTGTGTATACATATATATATATACACTACATTATATTTATAGACAAGAAATAGGTGTAATGCAGTCAGTGACCTGAAATAATTTAATTCAAATTCATTCTGACATTTTATCTTATTAACTTAAAAAGTGCTATTACGTCGTCAGAAACGTTAACTACATCGACATAAGCGAATATTTTGTTACTGCATTTGTCACAACGATCACCACCCACACACGCGTGCACGCATGCACAAAATTAGAAATTAAAGGTATTCAAATTATACTTTTCACAATTTCAACAATAAACATAAATTTTGATAAAAATATATTATCAAATGAAGGGGATGGGGAGAAAACATTGGTTTTAATTATTCACCGAAAGGAAGTGTTAAATATATGGGAACGTAAATTTTAATTTTATGCTTTTAAAATTGTATTTTCAGGGTTTTTTTTTCAA